AAGCTTTCCTTGAATGCAGCAGTCAACTAGCTTCCCATATAAGGAGTTACAACCTACCTCAACAGAATTATTGGAGGCCCACTGGAAATGTAATATAGTTAATACTCAGAAACAACCATTCCTTGAATGCAACTTACAAATAGACTGTCACACAATGGAGTTAGAACCTGTCTCAACAGAAAGTGTGGAGGCCCAATGGAAATGCAATGTACTTAAGTATGAGAAACAACCATTGTTGATGGCAGCCTTCCAATAGCCTCTGATTTAAGGAAGTTAGAACATCTCTCAAAAGTATGTATGGAGGCACATTGGAAATGCACTGTACTTCACTGTGAGAAACAAGCATTCCTTGATTTCAGCTTTCAACAAGTCTCTCAAATAAGGGAGTTAAAATCTACCTCAAAAGTAGGTTGTGAGGTGCAATGGATATGCCATATACCTCACTCTGAGAAACAAGGTATTCCTGAATGCACTTTTCAACTAGCCTTTCACACAAGGCAGTTAGAACATCACTGAAAGTAGGTATGGAGGCACATAGGATATACATTGTACTTTGCTGTGAGAGACAAGCTTTGGGGAATGTAGCTTTCAACAAACCTGTCACGTAAGTGAGGTAGAACCTATCTCAACAGAATGTGTGGAGGCACAGTGGAAATGCGATATACTTAGAACTGAGACACAAGTGTTCCTTGATGCACCTTTCAACCAGCATCTCACAGAAGGGCCTAGAACCTACATCAACAATAGTTATGGAGGTGCAAGGACATGCCCTGTACTTAACTGTAAGAAACCAGCTTTCCTTAAATGCAGAGCTTTCAACAAGCTTCCCACATAAGAGAGTTAGAACATCTCTGAAAAGTACGTAGGGAGGCTCATTGGAAATGTGACTGTCCTGATGAATGGAAAAAGATGTGGTCTATATATACAATGGAATATTACTCAGCCATCAGAAAGAATGAATATCCACCATTTGCTTTGACATGGTTGGAACTGGAGGGTATTATGCAGAGTGAAGTAAGTCAACTGGAGAAGGACAATTATCATATGTTTTCACTCATACAGGGAATATAAGAAATAATGAAAGGGATTATGCACTGTACTTAACTGTGAAAAACAAGCATTCCTTGAATGCAGCTTTCAACTAGCCTCTCACATAGGCCATTAGAACCTATCTCAAAAGTCAGTGTGGAGTTGCAATGGAAATGCAATATACTTAACTCTGTGAAACAGATTTTTATCCACTTGTAACACAGGCCAGGAGGTCTGTCTGGCATCTGTTTTGTCTTTTTGTTGTTGTTGAAGTAGGCTTCACACCCAGCACTGAGCCCAAGGTAGGCATCAACCTGGGTCTAGATCAAGAGTCTGACACTTCACCACCTGAGCCCCCCCCTCCCCCCGCCCCATGAGCCATGTTGTTTTAAATGACATTTTTACTCTTAAATCAGTTCCTTCGGCCATTTTTGTAAGTTACTTGATACTGTGCCCTACCTTCTGCTGAACGTGGGAATTCTATGCCTTTCACACACATTTCAGATGCACTTCAAACACACAGAGAACCTCCTTTTCATTGTGTTCTAAGTAGTCACAGGCTTTTTAAATATATATATATATCATTGGAGCTCGATTTGCCTACATATAGTGTAATACCTAGTACTCATCCCATCAAATGCCCTCCTCAGTGCCCATTACCCAGTCACCCCATCCCCCTGCCCACCTCCCCTTCCACTACCCCTCATTCGTTTCCCAGTTAGGAGTCTCTCATGGTTTGTCAAAGACATTTCTTTCTTTCTTTTTTTTTTTTTTTTAAAGATTCTATTTATTTATTCATTTAGAGAGAGCGAGAGAGAGGCAGAGACACAGGCAGAGGGAGAAGCAGGCCCCATGCAGGAAGCCCGATGCGGGACTCGATCCCAGGTCTCCAGGATCACGCCCTGGGCTGCAGGCGGCACTAAACCGCTGCACCACCGGGGCTGCCCAAAGACATTTATTTCTATGTATGCCTACCAGTAAGACTCCTTAGAGGTTTACAATTCTGAAAATACTTTGGGTCTTCCAAGTGGGAGTACTTGCAAAGTAATGCTTACAAGAGAGAAAAAGAAAATAATCAAACGTTATTTTAACACCAAAAAGAAGAGACAGCTGGGAAGTCTATTTGAGTCTGATGCATGTGCAGCACTAGTATGAGAGTTAGAGCAGCAAAGGCAGGAGACAGAGCACCTAAAGGCCATTCTCAGGGAGACCTTCAGGAAGCAGACCATGGATACAGAGGTGAGACAGCACCTTGGTGCGAGGGGTAGAGCAGGAGGGAAAACATAGCCTCTTAAATAAAAAAGCACATAAAAACCCACAAAAGATGTTTCCTCTGACAGAGGTGTTAAGACTCATGTGGACTGAAGTTTTTACTTGGTAACCCTACACCCAGAAGGAACTAAATAATGAAAGGATACAAAGACAATGTCTGAAAACTTAGCATCATATCTTACTTAACTCAATAACAAACATCTAATACAAGTGTCAATGGCTCTACCAGGAAAGTAGAGTCAATCCTCTTCAGTGCATCGAAGACATGTTAGGATATGCCATATTCTAAAGACAAGGAACTGCAAACACTTAGATCAAATCCTACCTAGGTTACGATCACAAGTGAGAAACAAGATCCTGGCCTCTAGTCGCCCACTGTGATCATCACTGGTCCCGACGTGAGTGCCATCAGTACCTGCAGAAGGAGCTAAGCAAGTGAGGGGAGGAGGCAGGAGAGGTCCTGAAGAAGCAGTGTTCATTCCAGGGATTCCAGGGAACTCCGCATAGGGAAAGTCGTTCAGATTTAAATGTGCCTTAAATAAGCACAAAGGCATAAGTCATGCCTGCTTAGGATAGAGATCTCTTTCTGCCAAGATTATAGGGTCCAAAAATCTCTGAGCTCTGGCAATAAGCTCTGGGAATTAAAGTAAACACACTGTAGTTACCACTGCTTTCTCTTCTTCTAGAACCTTATTATCACTTCAGAGACCCCCTCTAAATAGATATCCTGCATCCACTTCAGTCTCAATGCAATTTCTATTCTGGTGCTGCCACCCGACCAGCCCATGACCAGGAATGATTCATAGAATCAAGATTCTAGGCAACTGACGTTGCATGTCACAACAAAGAAACGTTATTCTTTAAAGTCGGCCAATCTTTTCTATTTCCTGAAGTCCTGTTTCTTTGAAAGCTTTGCCTCTCCGATGCTGTGATCCCACTAAGCCTGAGTGACAGTCTGAGAGCAGAGTCCAAGAAAGCCTGGGGTCAGAATGCCACTTAAACGCATACTTTCAAACTTCTATCATTGTGGTGGTAAAGGCCACAATTTCTGCACACTCGAACAATACTACAGGCAGGAACAAGAAAAAAGTATGCATGTAAACAATTAAGTTGCCCAGAAATCCAGTTCAAGTTCACAAAGATCAGAACATTTTCAAAATGCAAAGACAGATGGTCATGACTATTCTTCAATTCAATAGTAGGTATGGACCATCAAACTCAGCGTACACCCTGGAGGACAGAGACTCCCATGCCTTGTGCTGAAACGTTTTAAGTGTGCTTTGGAAAATGCATAAGAATAAACAGTAAGCATTTCCTATTATTGTACAGTTGCAAATACTAAAATGAAGCCTCAAAGCCAATAAGTCATTATTATTAATTTGGCTTCTCAGTACCTCCTTATTCGAAGCACCATTACATTTCACAGTGAAAAACATAAAGCCTCTTCAACACATTCACACACGTTCGGAGCAGAACTTGATTCAAACACTCTGAAGAATAAACACCTCCCAAAAATGTGGTGAATATTACTGATGAGGTAATGGGAAAATACTAATGTAACAGTCTGCATAGTTTTGTGTGTCCTCTGAATTTTCTCAAAAAAAATTTATTTTTAAGTATAAAGCAAAACTTACATTTTCAAAAAAAGGTTTGCCACTCCCCAAAAACATTTAATAGCTTATTAACCATACTATTGAGCCAAGTAGAGGTTTTTATTATTATAAAATAAAGCTTGGGTCCCTCAGGGTGTACTACCTTCACAAATGTTGATACAGCACTAGAGTGATGTCTGGTCCCTGAAAACAATGGACACAGCCCACACCCCCTGTGGATAACTCAGCCCTAACCACGTGCAACCAGGCCTCTGGGCAGCAATCATTCACCACCAGGAACACCCCCCTCCCTCAGACTTCCTGAACCAAATCACAGGCAGATGCCACTCAGCCACACTTGCGTACTTAGGTTTAGTACATGTTTCTGCTTCATCTTACTGATGAAAAATCTCAGACGCTTTGCTGTGTTACTCATCCTCCGGCAGGAACACGAATTTGGCAGTGGAAGCACCCTCAAAACCAACCCATGAAAAGGGCACAGGAAGACTGAGATCCAGCTCACCACCTCCTGAACTCAGAGCAGTGCCTTAAGTCACCCAGCCTTGGCTTCCTCCTCTAAAAGACCAGGTGGATCTTAGCACTGTTCTGACTATAAAGCAGGCACGTCTATGAAATGGAAAATCACTAGGAACCCAATGCTATAACTCAACTACGAGCAGTGCTCACCTGGCTGACAGTGCACCACCTGCAGGAAGCACCAGGGACTTCAGGCACCTGTCACATTCTCAGAGTCAGGAATTCAGGTGCCATCACATGCCTCCTGCAGCTCCTTCTCTAGCCTTCAAATAACTCCTTTTTGGACCCAGTTTTTAATTTTCTATGAGACAATCTGCTTAGAATAACTTTAATTAACAGGTAAATCCACACCATCACTCAACAAGACTGTCAGAGGATATTATGAGTGTGCCACTAACAGACTGCATCCCAGAGTTATGCCACGTAAGCTGAATTGCATAGGAAGGGCACTGAAGAGACCCATTACCACCAAAACAAAAAACTCTATCTTAAGAAAAAACTGAGAGCCAGTTTACAATTAAAGAGAATTTGATTTTGAGACATAAAGAACAGATACCTCTCCAAAATGAGTCTCCTCTGATACAAAAGATTTGCTTTATGGAGAAGATGTACCTTGTACCTTCCAAAAGAAGTGCTCTGAAGGCCCCCAGTGAAAGTTATTGCATTAAAGATGAGGGAAAACACTTGGTTAACTCTTATTATCAAAAGTTGTCTTCAGAACAGCCCAGTCCAGCTTGGCTCATAGGGCCCAAGAGTTCCCATGGGTCATTGTAAGAGACCTGGAGTCCAAAGGCCTGAGCCAAGGAGTTGGCTGTGCACCTTGGCCACATTGCCAGGCTGTCCAGGCACGCATCTCACAGACTCGTTTCCTCGCACACTCTCACAGGGATGTTGTAGTGCCGATCATCTTCAGCAATCAACGTCACCACAGGCCAGTCCATGGGCGGATCAGTGGGGTAGACCGTGATGAATTCTTCAGTGCTGTACTTGGAGAGCCGGTACACCTGAATGGTATGGCGCACAGCATACGCAAGAAGGAACATTTCAACCTGGGGAAAAGAGCAAACAGGTATGCAGAGGTGCTCCAGGCAGGGCACAGCACAGCTATGCTGCAACCTCTCTTTCACCTCATGGGCCCAGTACCCAGACTTTTCTAGTGGCTGCTACAAATAAGCAGATCATCCAAAATATACTGTCTGATAAGGGACTTGTATCCAGAATACATAAAGAACTTTTATAACGATTTTTAAAAAAATGACCAGTTTAAAAATTGGGCAAAGGATCTAAATACAACAGACATTAATCCAAAAAAGATATGAAAATGGACAATAAGCACATGAAAAGTCATTAGAGGAACACAAGCCAAAACTACAATGAGATTCCCTTTCAGACCCACCAGAACAGTTATAATCAAACAGATAATAAATGAAGCATAACTACTTAACAGGCACCAAGTTTTATTTTGGGGTGATGAAAATATTTTGGAACTTAGTAAATGTACTAAGAACCAATGGGTCATATACTTTAAAATGGTTAATTTTATGTTATGTGAACTTCAATTAAAGAAAAAAAGAAGTATATCCCAGGTATATACCCACGAGAAAGGAAAACATGTGCCCACACAAAAAAAACCTGTACATAAATGTTCATAATAGAATTATTCACAATAGCTAAAAAAAGCAGAAAGACCCCAGATGTCCATCAACCAATGAATGAATGTCGTATGACTATATGATGGAATATTGTTTGTGACATGTCTTACAATATGAATGAGTCTTGAAAACACTATGCTGAGTGAAAGATGCGAGTCACAAAAGACCACATATTATATGATTCCACTTCTAGGAAATGCCCCAAGTAGGCAAATCTACCGAAACAGAAAAGCAGACTAGTGGCTGTCTGGGGCTAGGGGAGGGGGAATTAGTACTAACGAGTACAGGGTATCCTTTAGTGGTGATAAAATAGTCTAAAATTAGACTACAGGGATGACCACAAAACTCTATAAACACCCTAAAAACACACTTCAAAAGGATAAACTTTATGGCATGTAAATTGTTTCCCAATACAGTTATGTTTTCAAAAATGGACTCGCCATTACAGTACACTTTGTGGGGACTCCAAAAGAACCAACTTCGGTCTAATATGCAAACCATGCTGCACCATGCTTTGTACTGAAGGGAGGTGCTGAGGTTCGGGAGGCATAAGGAACCTACACTCTGAGTTCAGGTACGTGGGTTAAGCAGTCACTTTCAATTCTGCCTGGCCCAGCAGTGACCATCAGCCTTGGCCCTTTGCTACACACCAGGAAAAGGCAAGCAGGAGAGTCAGCTACCTAAGTACAAAGGTAGCACTTTGGATGGATAACCTTAAATGCTACTTTAGTAGCTAGCTATTCCACTAAAAAAGACTTTATAAACTTTTTAAGATAATATAATGAGGACACTAAAGATAGACAATTGTGTGGTAAGTCATGGGACAGTACTGCTTTGGGTCTCTGTGTAGAACTCTAAACTTAGCATATCTGTAAAAGATCCAAGAGCAGGCTGGTCTCTACTGGGTACGGTGACCCTATTTCTATTTTTAAAGGACGCTATCTAATATGCCTACGGCTGCCAAGATTAAATAATAAAACTCTTTGCTTCATCTATTTGTAAACTGCCAGGCGTAAGGGTACTGATCCCACCCAGTATCCCACAAAAGCAAGCCCAGGCTGAAATTAATCTGGTGGTTACAAAACAGCCCCACAATTCTTTTGCACTCCTCACTTGAAAAGCTGGATGGAATGCTTTTCAATGTTCTCCATTGAGTTTGGGACGGATTTAGTGACTTGTTCTTAATAAATAGACTGGTGTAAACAACAGTGTATAACTTCCAAGACGAGATCATCAAACACACTGTGGCTTCCTCCTTGCTCTATTCTTGGATCACTTCATATGTTGAGAGAAGTCAGCCATCATGTCCCAAGGCCACTCAAGCAACACTATGGAAGGGCCCACATGTCAAGAAACTAAAACCCTCCTTCTAACTACCGATCAGGCCTCTGCCAACAACCAGGTAGTTGCACCATGTGGGAAGTGGACCCTCCAGCCCAGTTGGGCCCACAGACAACTGTAGCCCTGAACAACACAGGACTGCAGCCATCCTTGAGACCCTAAGCAGAACCACACAACCAAGCTGCTCCAGAATTTTTGGCCTACAGAAGCTGTGAAATAATGTTTGATGATTAAAGCTGCTGTTTTGGAATAATACATATCCAAAAGCACAACTCACCTGTTCAAGGCCTCCAGTGTGTCCCACCTGGTTTAGATGGTTCCTCAGCAGCTGTCCAGGATCATTCGATGTGTCCCGAGCAAACAGAAGCACAGAGAAAAATGGTACTTCCTTTCCGTTCTCTTTATCATCATATAGTTCAATGGCTCTGTTTAGCATTAGAAATTTTACAGCTTCGTAGAGGCTATATTCTTCTTCCTCATTCATGAACAGTTCATCACAAGCTACCTGCCTTGCTTCAGCAGTTCGCATCTCTGCCAAGCCTGCCCACTACAACAAGAAAGTTACATAACAATGAAATGTTTGCTCTAAAACCTGGTATACTTCCATACTATGAACACAAAATTATTTTCAAAAATAGGAGGCCATGGGTCACATGCCAATCCTCACAACATTCAAGTTTCTAGCTCAAACAATGGTACACTCTATAGACCACACAAATCCCTTATTTCCCATTAATTTAAAACAAAAGTACAATGCACTGAGAAGTAGTGATGCCATGGAATGGAATTTTCAAGTCCCCTAACCTCCTAGACAATGAAACTGAACCAGTCACTCAGAAATACTAAATGGAGGAGCAAATATGGTGTGTATGTGTGAAGCTGTGAGGGGTAGCTAAAATTATACCTTCCCTTCAGTGGCTAATGGGAGCACTTACCACCCAGAAACACCAAACCAACTTGCAAAAATGAAGATGGGCAAGGAAGATTGTGAGGTCGCTTGAATGTTACTTTACTAAACCCACCCCTCTAACTTCCTTAAAATATACATGGAGTTTCAAATGAATACATCTACTCAGGAAATTTTTACTGACTTCCAATTAAGAATAAAGCAGAGCACTAGGTATTCAACTAACATGGACAAACTCTCTAAGTGAATGAGAAAACTCTAAAATATATGCGCTTTTTAGTTAAAGAGATTCCAAAGTGAACTAGTCCTTATGAATAAACCAGTAACAACTGTTGCTTTCAAAAACCATTAAAATTCTAAATTCAATAGTAAATTTTAATGGTAATGACTGTACCAAAGGATTCTCTTCAATATGTAGTTGAAGCATCTCTTATTTTCCAGAAGTAGACCTAGCTGACAATCAAGAGCATGGCTCTAGAGTCAGGAGAGTCAGGATGGAATGAAAGCCTTGCTACCAAGCAGGTGGTGACTTTTTGTTGGGCATTAAAGGACTTCCAGATTTTAGTTTCCTCATCTTTAAAATGGGGATAACAGCAACAACACCTTGGTAGTTATGAGAATTAAACTACACATGAAACATTTAGGACACAGCCTGGCACACAGAAAGTACTAGTAATGCTGGCTCAGATTATTAAGGAATAATTTTAATGTTATTATAAATTGGAAACACTTAAACATTCATCAAAATGAGGATCTGGTTACAGTACACACACTTAATACAGCAAAAGTTGCAATTTTACAAAACCTTAAAAAGGATGAAAAGGAAATTGTCACCAGTGGCTGAGCTGAAGAGCCTTCCCATTCACTCATGTAGCCAGAGTCCTACTCTCAGCCCTCACCTAACCTAGATCCTGGGGTCCCTGGCCCCCACAAACCTTGTGCTCCACGCCAAGTGACAACAAGAACAGAATCTCTATTTCCTTCTCTTGTCACAATCTCTCAATCCCTAAACTTCGTTTGACAGTGTACTTTTGATAAAACACTTCTTACATTTGTAAATAAAAACTAGGTTCCAGGAGGTCAAGGCCTTCAGTTCATTCACTAAACGATGTATTTACCAAACGCCTATTATGTGTCAGGCTTGGTGCTGGATACTGGGTGAAAAGGAACGAGCAAGACAGACTCTCGTAGAGCTGAAAGTCTAACTGGCTGGCAGATCATACTGGAGGAAACAGAGCAACACCAGGGGAAAGTGCTAAAGGACTCCTGAAAGCCATCTGACACCTCCTTACCAGCCTCCCCCAACATCTACAAAGCCTGGAGCAATCAGCAGGCCCTGAACTCAGGGTTCCTGGTGAGAACTTCAAACTCTTCCAAGGCAAGCAACCTAGTGGTCTATGTGGGGCAGTATCTAAGCAGTACCTCCAAAACCCATGGAATACTCCAGAAAGGGATACATTATAATAACCAAATCACTGGGAATCAGCCAACCAAGTTCTCCCTATGATTGTTTCAGAGAAACCCTCATGACAGTCTTCAAAAGAAAAGTTACTGGAGTGCCTGAGTGGCACACTTGGTTAAGCATCTGACTCTTGGTTTCAGCTCCAGTCACGAATCTCAGGATCATGAGATACGGCCTACCCATTTTGGGCTCTATGCTCAATGAGGGAGTCTGCTTGGGATTCATTCATTCTCTCTCTCTCTCTCTCCCCACCCCCTACACTTCTCACTCTTGTGCACGCTTTCTTCTCTCTCCCAAATAAATAAGTAAATCTTCAAAAAAAAGATAAGTTACTAAATCTACTCACTGGACAATCATTCAGATGAAAACAAGTCTAATAGGGACAGTTTTTAGAAACTTAAAACACAAACATAATTGCAAAGAACTTAATAAATACACATCCATATCATTGCTACTACTCTAGGAAATAGAAACTACAGATTATCCCTGAAACTTGTCAATATGACATGGAACAAAGATCACGTTTAAGGTTTCCTTTTAAGAAAATAAACATTTCAGTGAACATAATAAATGATGTTGCTATTTCTACACTTTACCAAAGACTTAACAGGAAGAGTTTGTGTTCATTTAAATTAAATTGTCTAAATACCAGCCATAGGCATGTGGTCTGCTGGGGCAATCAGGAGTGAGAGTTTTACACTTATCATAGGAAAAACACTACAGATTCCGAACCTTCTTCCTTAGTAATGTGAGAGACTCCTTTATTTTATCAACCAGGTCCTCGTTCTTCCCCTTAAATTTCAGTCCAAGTTTCCACTGCTTAATCCAGTTGTATTTGCTTATGAGTTTTTCTGGTAACTGGATTATCAAGAAAGAGAGAGAAAGAGATGTTAACATTTCAAGAAATCCATCACAGGAACCTGTAGAAACCACAAAGCCTACAATACAAAACCTACCTTTGTTTCCAGAATTGATTCCCGCACATTTGTCCACTGGAGGGAAATGGATGGTGGTTCTGGCTGAGATACAAAGGCACAATCTACCTTGCTCAGCAATGACCACACCCAGAAAATTCTACAGCACTTTGTGAGGGGACCTCAAGGCAGTGTTCACACCGTGTCTTCACAAACCACCCAGGTAGCTCCTGGATCACTGACAACCTCCCTGCCACTCCCTAATGCCCAACCCGGAAAGGCACTTTGGCCATGCAAGATGGTCCAGGATAAAGTAAAAACCTGACTCTTTCCTGATGAGAAAAATAAAGCCTAATTTCCAATATTACCACATATCCTCAAAAGCTTTAATATTCACAAAAACAATGTGTATCTAGTTTAACTGCCTAATCAATGTTGTAAGATAAAAAAATAAAAAAGCAATGGAGAAGCGGCAGCAGAGGTCAACAGCTACAGTGGCCCAGCTCATTAAAGAGGTGACAGCTGCTGAGCTACACTTTGCCAGTTCCTTTTTTTCCTGGAATGTGTTTTATTTTGTTTTCCCCTAATCATCCACAGACTCTGGAGTCTGCAAGGCAAGCTGGGACACAACATGATGGATGACAGCATGGGAATTCCAACACTCCCGACAGTCTTGGATGTGTCAGGAGAAAATTCTTCATTAGGCCAGGCTCACGCATGTCACTTCACTGCTATAAAAACCAGAAAGGAAAAGAAAGTCCACCAAGTCAAAAGATATTAAAGAATTAGTTCCCACAGCATCCTATGTTGAACTCAAGCTTAACAGTCATAAATAGTTTTAAATGAGGCCACATGTTCAGTTCCTTGGGAATCTAAGACTCTAAAGACCCTTTCAATCACACATGGTGATTCCAGTTTTACCTTCTCAATCTACAGCCATCATATGAAACAGGTGGTTTCATTTCTGCAAAAAACAAACCACACAGGGATGTAAAATCCTCCTCAGGTGAAGTTACCACGAGGACCATGATCCACAATCACTCACTAAGCAGAGGAGGAGCTGTGTTCTCCCCATCTTATTGCGACGACCCCACCAAGGGTGGCCTAGCTCCATGCCCAATGCTCAGCATTTTGGCAACATGTGGGTAGTTCGGCTACAAACTTTCAATTCAGGTTCTCAGATTTCTCACCAGAACCTAAAATACCCTCAAGTGGGAATCAGCTGAAATCACAGCTGGACACAAAGAAGTGCACAACACAGGAAACACGGGAAATTAAGCTACAGGGTAAAGAGAAGCCTGGAAGACCGTCTGAGCCTCCCACGACATGGTGCACATCCCTGGGCAGCAGTCACAATACAAAACTGAGTCCCTCGGAAGACCCTGAAGTCTAAATACAAACGGGCAAACCTTTAGATAAAAGCCCGTTTCCTCATTCCTTCCATGTGCTGGGCAAACCGTGGCTAGCATAATGACCTAGCTCAGGTTTGCAGGCCTCTCAGGAGATGTGGAGATCCTGGAGAAAGTCCAAAAAATGATGAGGTGTGAAGAAGCAACAAGTAGGAAAGAAGAATTCATGTGAAATGATTTCTTCAGAAGAAAAAATAGATCTAACTTTAGATCTTTAGATCCGATTGTTTTCAAGAGTGGCTGCACCAGTTCACATTCCCACCAACAGTGTAAGAGGGCTCCCTTTTCTCCGCATCCTCTCCAACATTTGTGGTTTCCTGCCTTGTTAATGTTCCCCATTCTCACTGGTGTGAGGTGGTATATCATTGTGGTTTGGATTTGTATTCCCTGATGGCCACTGATGCGGAGTATTTTCCCATGTGCCTATTGGCCATGTCTATGTCTTCCTCTCTGAGATTTCTCTTCATGTCTTTGGCCCATTTCATGATTGGATTGTTTGTTTCTTTGCTGTTGAGTTTAATAAGTTCTTTATAGATCTTGGAAACTAGCCCTTTATCTGATATGTCATTTGCAAATATCTTCTCCCATTCTGTAGGTTGTCTTTGAGTTTTGTTGACTGTATCCTTTGCTGTGCAAAAGCTTCTTATCTTGATGAAGTCCCAATGGTTCATTTTTGCTTTTGTTTCTTTTGCCTTGGTGGACGTATCTTGCAAGAAGTTACTGTGGCCGAGTTCAAAAAGCGTGTTGCCTGTGTTCTCCTCTAGGATTTTGAGGGAATCTTGTCTCACGTTTAGATCTTTCATCCATTTTGAGTTTATCTTTGTGTATGGTGAAAGAGAGTGGTCTAGTTTCATTCTTCTGCATGCGGATGTCCAATTTTCCCAAACCATTTTATTGAAGAGACTGTCTTTCTTCCAGTGGATAGTCTTTCTTCCTTTGTTGAATATTAGTTGACCATAAAGTTGAGGGTCCACTTCTGGGTTCTCTATTCTGTTCCATTGATCTAAGTGTCTGTTTTTGTGCCAGTACCGCACTGTCTTGATGACCACAGCTTTGTAGTACAACCTGAAATCTGGCATTGTGATACCCCCAGATCTGGTTTTCTTTTTTAAAATTCCCCTGGCTATTCGGGGTCTTTTCGGATTCCACACAAATCTTAAAATAATTTGTTCTAACTCTCTGAAGAAAGTCCATGGTATTTTGATAGGGATTGCATTAAACGTGTAAATCGCCCTGGGTAACATTAACATTTTCACAATATTAATTCTGCCAATCCATGAGCATGGAAGATTTTTCCATCTTTTTGTGTCTTCCTCAATTTCTTTCCGGAGTGTTCTATAGTTTTTAGGGTATAGATCCTTTACCTCTTTGGTTAGGTTTATTCCTAGGTATCTTAGGCTTTTGGGTGCAATTGTAAATGGGATTGACTCCTTAATTTCTCTTTCTTTAGTCTCATTGTTAGTGTATAGAAATGCCATTAATTTCTGGGCATTGATTTTGTATCCTGCCATGCTACCAAATTGCTGTACGAGTTCTAGCAATCTTGGGGTGGAGTCTTTTGGGTTTTCTATGTAGAGTATCATGTCATCGGCAAAGAGGGAGAGTTTGACTTCTTCTTTGCCAATTTGAATGCCTTTTATTTCTTTTTGTTGTCTGATTGCTGAGGCTAGGACTTCCAGTACTATGTTGAATAGCAGTGGTGAGAGTGGACATCCCTGTCTTGTTCCTGATCTTAGGGGAAAGGCTCCCAGTGCTTCCCCATTGAAAATGATATTTGCTGTGGGTTTTTCATAGATGGCTTTTAAGATGTTGAGGAATGGTCCCTCTCTCCCTACACTCTGAAGAGTTTGGATCAGGAATGGATGCTGTATTTTGTCAAATGCTTTCTCTGCATCTAATGAGAGGATCATATGGTTCTTGGTTTTTCTCTTGCTGATATGATGAATCACATTGATTGTTTTATGAGTGTTGAACCAGCCTTGTGTCCCGGGGATAAATCCCACTTGGTCATGGTGAATAATTTTCTTAATGTGTTGTTGGGTCCTATTGGCTAGTATCTTGTTGAGAATTTTTGTATCCATTTTCATCAGGGATATTGGTCTATAATTCTCCTTTTTGGTGGGGTCTTTTTCTGGTTTTGGAATTAAGGTGATGCTGGCCTCATAGAATGAATTTGGAAGTACTCCATCTCTTTCTATCTTTCCAAACAGCTTTAGTAGAATAGGTATGATTTCTTCTTTAAACGTTTGATAGAATTCCCCTGGGAAGCCATCTGGCCCTGGACTCTTGTGTCTTGGGAGGTTTTGGATGACTGCTTCAATTTCCTCCCTGGTTATTGGCCTGTTCAGGTTGTCTATTTCTTGGTGTTTCAGTTTTGGTAGTTTGTGGCTTTCCAGGAATGCGTCCATTTCTTCTAGATTGCCTAATTTATTGGCGTAGAGCTGTTCATAATATGTTTTAAAAATCGTTTGTATTTCCTTGGGTTGGTAGTGATCTCTCCTTTCTCATTCATGTTTTTATTAATTTGAGTCGTCTCTCTCTTCTTTTTAATAAGGCTGGCTAATGGTTTATCTATCTTATTAATTCTTTCAAAGAACCAACTCCTGGTTTCATTGATCTGTTCTACAGTTCTGGTCTCGATTTCGTTGAGTTCTGCTTGAATTTTAATTAGCTCTCTTCTTCTGCTGGGTGTAGGATCTATTTGCTGTTTTTTCTCTAGCTCCTTTATGTGTAAGGTTAGCTTTTGTATTTGAGTTCTTTCCAGTTGTTGAATGGATGCTTGTACTGCGATGTATTTCCCCCTCAGGACTGCTTTTGCTGCATCCCAAAGATTTTGAACAGTTGTATCTTCATTCTCTTTAGTTTCCATGAATCTTTTTAATTCTTCCTTAATTTCCTGGTTGACCCTTTCATCTTTTAGCAGGATGGTCCTTAACCTCCACGTGTTTCAAGTCCTTCCAAACTTCTTGTTGTGATTTAATTCTGATTTCAAGGCATTATGGTCTGAGAATATGCAGGGGACGATCCCAGTCTTTTGGTATCGGTTCAGACCCGATTTGTGACCCAGTATGTGGTCTATTCTGGAGAAAGTTCCATGTGCACTTGAGAAGAATGTGTATTCAGTTGAGTTTGGATGTAAAGTTCTGTAGATATCTGTGAAATCCATCTGGTCCAGTGTATCATTTAAAGCTCTCGTTTCTTTGGAGATGTTGTGCTTAGAAGACCTATCGAGGGTAGAAAGCACTAGACTGAAGTCACCAAGTATAAGTGTATTATTATCTAAATATTTCTTCACTTTGGTTATTAATTGATTGATATATTTGGCAGCTCGCACATTCGGGACATATATATTGAGGATTGTTAAGTCCTCTTGTTGGATAGATCTTTTAAATATGATATAGTGTCCCCTCTTCATCTCTCACTACAGTCTTCAGGGTAAATTTTACTTTATCTGATATAAGGATGGCTACCCCTGCTTTCTTTTGAGACCATTTGAATGGTAAATGGTTCTCCAACCTTTTATTTTCAGGTGTAG